TCTTCCCCCCAGTAGAATCAATGGGAAGACATCAAAGCAGACTCTGGAAAAGGCCTATCCATAACAGTTTAGATGGTGTAGATACTTTGCAGTAGAGGGAGTGTGTCTTAACATTTGGCAATAGCATTCATCAGCAGTAGTGATGTCTTTTTGAATTCCTTATATTCTCTCTTTTGCTATTGATTTGGCTTCTCCGGGGTTAATTGGCCAAATATTCAGGAGAGAGACAACGACTGCAAAGTTCTGCTATATGTATGCGGTGCCAATACCAGATTCAGATTATTAAGTCTTGACAGCCTCAGAGGCATCAGGCCGGTAAGGTCAAACATGAGTCTGAATCCTGAGATTAGAATCCTAGTCTAGGTCTGAGCCGTAATACTTGTCACAGTAGCTTCAAGCCTTAATATTGCATTGGGGATGCATTTTGGGGTACTGAACAAAGTCCTAAGGAAATTGAATAGCTTCAGAAGCCCCCAGGGTTGTGTATGGGTCCTATTGTATCCCATATAATAACTGTTTTACCCATAAACAATTTAACTGCTGCTGGGATCTAATTTGCCCCTTGTTGCCTATGAAATTTAATTATTGGTTGTGTGTTTTTTGGGCAGTAGCAGAGGCATAATTTACCTGAGCTATTAATTTCCTGGAGGCCTGAAATACTATGCCCAAGTATTTAAAACATTTGACCTGCTCTAATTCGGGAGAATCAATTGTCCACTTCTGGTTTCTAGTTTTGTTTGAAAAAACTAAAACTTTTAAATTATCATCATTGATTATTAATAGTTACTTTAGAGTAAGATGCTGGGTTCTCAGTGCCTGCTTGATGTCTACAGAAGATAAAGAGAAAAGAAACACATCATCAGTGCAAAGTAAAATTGGGAGATGTCTTTGGGCTAATTTAGACACATGGATATCTCTGGAGAGTTTTGATCAGAGAGTTGATATATATATTAAAAAGCAATGATAGAATACATCCTTGTTTCACCCCTTTGATAGTCTGAATAAAACCAGAAAGGTCCTTTCCCAGTTACATCAGGCCCGTTTTAACAGGAGTCTTCATCTGTAGAGGATCAGCTTATTCTTGAGATATTATCAAAAGTTGCCTTGAAATCAATAAAAGCCGCATATAGATTCGCGTCAGTGGTTTGTATATTTATCTGCCAGCTGTTGAAGCACTAGGCCAGTGTTTCCCAAACTTGACAATTTTAAGGCATGAGGACTTCAACTCCCAGAATTCCACAGTCATGCCTTAAAATTGTCAAGTTTGGGAAACACTGCACTAGGCAATGGTGTATAGTAGAACATCCTGTTTGAAATCTTGCTTGCTCTGGGTCAGTTATTCTGTCCTCTATTATCCAGGCTCGGAGTCTGATAAATAAGTACGTGGCATATAGTTTGCTAATGATGTTCAATAGACTAATTAGCCTATAATTAGCCAGATCATTCCTATCACCTATCACCCATAAGGGGTCAATTACAGCTTCCCCTCCAATCCTCTGGAATCTTGGCTGTGTGGTTAAGGTAGGAAAATAAAGACGCCATTATAGGGGCCTACAAATTTGGATTAGATTTAATTAGCTCAAGGGGGATACCGTCAACTCCTGAGGGCTTTATTACACTTGTGTTGATTAATGAGTTTTTGTACTTCCTTGCATTTGATTAGAGGCTACTCTGACAGTGAGAATAATGGTAGATCAATCACACAGGTGTTAGCATGTGGGTAACAGTAAAGGGCTTGGAAGTAGTGTAGCCAGGTACTTGAGAAGATACTATAATGGAGTTGTATAATGTTGTTATGGTATGCTAAAATGGAGTGATTTTTGCACTTTGCGGCTTCAATTAACTATGACCATTTTTTCCTTGTGATTTTGAATTCTTTTCTTTCTGAGGAGAGCCCTATATGGTTTTTTTTATGCTCCTTTAAAATTTAGGTGAAATTTGGTGAGTTAGTCTTGAATAAGGAAGCATAAGATTCAAATAATGCTGCTTTAGCAGCAATGTAGTATTTATCAAACCATCTCTCAGAGTGGTATCCCCTCCTGATCGGATTGCTATTTGCCTTAGTTATAAAAGATTGGAACTTACTATGAGATCGTGATATACATTAAGCATTGTACTATCTTGTGGGATGGTCAGGTCTGAGCATGCCATTACATTACAGAGGGTTTAAAAGTATGCAATTCCTTTCTCTCAACGAAACCATTGGTCTATCCTGCCTTCAAGAGGGCCATGCCACCTGACCCCATAAGAGTCACCTTGCGCCAGACATTTTAAATGGGCCCCATTTGGTTTCTACTTAGGCTTTGCCTAACTTTGCAAATGAAATTTAAGGAGAAATGATCATTTTGAGTCCTGTGCATTCATAATGTCTCTTTCACTCATCCTCATTTTTGTAGAGATCATTCTCTGTGCATTTTTTTCTCATCCTGTGTAGGTTAAACTAGGAGGTTATGGAAATAGAATTTAGCAGTAGTGAACCATTTCATTGCATGGGCATGTCCACGAGATCACCAAGTCCCTTTATGTAACTTGCTGATTTAAGAAGAAGGGGTCCAAGTGTTTCCCTCTTCTTTCCTGCACGTGATGCTGGACATGGAAAGAAGGAATTGCTGTTGTGCCTGAGACTGTCTTCTCTATTACAGGGGCTGAGAACTTATCAGTACCGGAGCAGAATATGGAGCCCCAGTGGGAAAAGCTTTTTCAGTGGGCTTTCCTTTCCCTCAAACTCACTCCAGGAACTTTGGTAGAGGGAAAACATAGGAGGCCTTACAAGGATTCTACTATTGTCCGAAGACGTTTTGGTTTAGTTTACAGGAGATTTAGAAATCCCAATCTGAGATAGGGGATCTGAATTATTTAAAGCCAGCAGGACCTCCGTTCTAAAATGTGCTATTAGTGAAAAGCAAGATCACTTGTAACATTTTTCTAATCTACTCTGGTTCAGAGGTTCATTGTTCCAGCAGGAACTAATCGGATTTCTCATAAGTTTTATTGTAAACTGCCCAGAATCATTTAGGTGAGATGGGTGGTGTAGAAATGTGATGAATAAATGAATGAATGAATATAAAATTTCCATTTGCAGTGCATTTGGCCAGCCAAATCATATAGAGCAGGGATGTCAAACTCGCAACGTCACTGATGTGTCGCGACATATCGTGACTTTTTCTCCATTGCTGGCAATGTGGGTGGGTGCGGTTTCGGCATGACGCCTCCAGCCCATGGGCCGGCAGTCTTGACATCCGATACAAAGGATAAAGAATGCAGGATTTGGAGGCTAGTATTGCTGATTCATCAGTGGTGATCAATGATATATATATGGAAGTACATTATTTTAGAACAAGGGTGTCAAACTGCTGGCCCATGGGCCGGTTGCATCATATGGAGGCCACGCCCACCCCAGCTCCAGCAATGAAAAAAAAGTTGCGATATGTCGCGACATGTTACGTGACGCGGCGAGTTTGACACCCATGTTTTAGAAGATGCAGCAGCAGTTTGTGCCTGGAAAAAAGTTTAAAGGGCTTTTAGATTTCTCTGATGTCTTAACTGCCTTCTAATCCTTCAAAAGTCTAAACAGCTGATAAACTGAAGGGGGGCTGCTACAAAAAACTGTTCTATCCCACTCCCTCCCTGCAGAAGTAGGCAAAAATAGCAACAAAAAAGTTTTCATTACATTTTAAAAACTTGACAGGAGAAAATTGCTTGACAATAACCTCATTTATATTTAATTTAAATAGTTAACTTTTTGGAGTTCAATTAAAATGTGTCATTGGTAGCTCACTTGGTGTGTCTTGATCATAAATGAATTCAGAATTATACTTAGCAACTGAGGACTTGAAGAACTGTGTTCTGACCACTATTTGTTTATAACTCCAATTCTAAACACATTTACCTGGTTGTCTACTTAAATGAACTTTAGAATGGGACACTTAGTTTATTTGCCTTTATATGTTTGACATATCTGCTGTTATTTGTATATAGTCAGTGTTTTGGCATTTGGAGATCCAAGGTCATTTGTCTTTCTCATAGGATGCTTTTACTACAAGTAGTTCTTCTTGAACGGATACTTCTTTGGTGACCAAAGCTGCAACAGCACCGGAGGGACTTACAATGGATCTTTGTAATTGTGGCCATTGCCACACAGTTATGACTGTCATACAGGTGCTTGGCAATTATGATGTTAGTGTTTTGTGATCACTATTTGTGACCTTCATTGCTGGCTTCCAACAAGCAAAGTCAATGGGGAAGCCAGCAGGAAATTGGAAATGATGATTACATGACCACAGGATGCTACAACTGTGCAGGATTTGCCTAACAAGTGGAATTGCTGGAATGGCTGGTCCCTGTTACCCACTGTCAAGCAAGGACTACCTGGTACTGTTCACTTATTTAACTTGAAAGCCAGATGACATTAAAGGGAACATATACATTTGGTTTGGTTATACATGACTATGATTTTACACCTAGTTGTTTAGTGTTAATAGCAGAGGTTCTTGTCATATAAAGCTGATCATTTTCTTTGCAATCAACTCCTGTTTTCTCCATCCTCCTCTTCACTAGGTTTCAATATTTAAAGTCTTGTAAGTTAAACATTAAAAACACACAATCCATGCAACTTTAATTCTTGCTCTCTGGGTTGTGTGTAGGAGTGTAAACAATCACTGGAGTGTTTAGTGAACTAGAAAATAGATGAAAATAAGCACTTTGCTTAAAAATCTTGTTCACTCACTGTTCTTTCTTTCGAGACACCCATTTCTGTTATTAAACTATTGAAAAGAGTAGCTCATATCACATTCTGCAACTTTTTTTGTTCTTTCTTGAACTGTGGCACATACATAGCCACACAATTAAGAAATTAAAATTGAACGATGTCATCCATCCTGACAGAAACAATTCATATTGTATATATTCTTATTAAAGTCTTGTGGACGCTTGTGGGTATATTAAAGAATGGTTTCCTTTAATACTGAGTTAACTGGCCTGCTAAATATTCAATATTCAGATCAAGGTACACAGAAAACACATCTTTATTGACTGCATTTGCTAACACATTGAAGAATGCAAAGGTATTTCTTTTTGCATAAGCAAATGGGCCATGGTCCCAATGTGTATTAAAGCATACACTAAATCGAAACATGATGAAAATTATGGCAGACAGACCTATTCCAAGGCAACACAAACAGCATGCATAATACAGCTTTCACACAGAACAACCTTGATACATTATATTGCTTTAAGGATTAACTAACATGAAAAATGTACAAAAAGGAGAAATAGGTTTTGCATTAATGAAAAATACATTTTTTTCTCTACAAAGGAATTTCTAATACAAGAAAATAAATATTGCAACATAAGCCAAAATAATTTAAAATTGCTCTTTTCAATATATTTTCAATATTTCTCTTTTATATTAACAAATGGCACATCACTTTCTTTGAAACAAAGAAAACAGGTGGCCTTTGCCTCCTGTGACATTCATATTGTTTCCTGTAACTGATACAGAGTGGGCCTGTATTGTGTCAGTGTGGAATGGACCAAAGTGTGCAAGAGATCCCTTAAAGAACAACCAAATTGCCACACCCAGCTAGTAATAGGAAATGGAGCCTTGTGCCAGGTTGCAAGAACAGGCAGGAATGAATTGTACCCTTTCCCCCCCACATTGGAGAGAAATGGCTAATTCTTCACTGTGCTTTTGAGGAAAAGCACTGCCAAACCTTTATTTTTAAAAAATGCAGACAAAATAACTATCAACAAAAGATTCAAAATACACCACAAAAGGTCTGTTTCCAAAAATTGAAGGGGAAATTTGAGTGTATTTGAGCATTTCCCAAAACTGGACTCTTAAGACATTCCATTTAAATCTAAGATTTCAAAAACAATGTTGGATCCTTATTAATGAACACAAAAATGAGCTTTACTATAGCCATGTTAATACATAATCATGATGCTAACAGGATTCACCCTTTACAGTGCAAATGTCAATGCCTGAAGTTCACACATTATTGGATTAAAGACCTTTATGTAATAAAATAGACCATTTATGCTTCCCCCCCCCTATTCATTTCAAAATACATTTATAATGCATCAAAAATATTTTTCACATACAATTCCTTTTTCCTTTATGCAAATCTCTCTAGCTTCTACAAGAAAAGAGGCAGGTGCTAAGTAGCAAAGGAAGATTGGCATTCTCCTTAAAAGGGTTTTGACGAATATGCACATAGCTGTCAACTGAGCAGCAGCTAACAGAGACACTACTGGAAACAACACAAAAGAACAGATTTTAAGTAATTCAGAGCTGGATCTTAACCGTGACAAAACACTGGGTTGTGTGATGAGCAACTCCCTTCGACAGCTAGCTAGATATATCAAGCCTCAAATACTAGAGAAGACTTTGATTTAACCATCTGGAGCATTTCACTGTGTTTATTCCATCACAAGGCAATACTATTATTGGGGGCACAAACAAAATAAAAACAAAAAATGGGCCCGCTGGCATCCCTTTGATGGCCTTCAGAGTGGGTAGCTTGGATTTGGAAGCAAACTCTGTGCCTTATCAACACTTTAAACTCCCAGCCTCCCTCTCTTGCCATATGAGGCCCTGCCCACTTTTGGACTGCAAACTTCAGCAAGCTCCCCTGAGTGCAGCCACTGAACTAACGGAAATTGTGTCCTCCTCCATATTACATCACAACAGCTGGCAGGGCTTCTTCTTTAATCCCACAGACTGAAATCAAGTCCAAGGCACTTACTGGACTTCACTGTAACTATCTTGGCAACTTTAAAGAGGCATGGACTACAACTCGCAGAATTCTGCGAATTGCAGTCCATACCTCTTAAAAGCTGCCAAAGTTTAGAAACATTGCTATAGAGACATTGTGAACGCTTGTGAATATTACTTGCAGTCTGAACATATTTTTTTTTAAAATTCCAAATCCATATTCCTCATTTGCAAAAATACATTCCCTCCATGAACCCAACATTATCGAGTTCTGTCATTCAGAGAAAGAGCTTACATACTTCCCCATAAATTTTTAACAAACAATTGAAGTTTGTATGTGGATTTTTACCAATTCATGCTACCTGCCTGAAACACACAGTAATATACAATATAAGAGGTGGAAAGCTGCAGGAGGAATTATTGAAAACTCTTTATTTGCTGGCAGAAGCCCCTCTGGAGTCAAACCTGTGAGGGGAAGGTCAATTAAAGTTATTAGAAAAAAAATGGGTTCCAGTTTGTGAAATCTTTGATATTCTTTTTCTCACATACAGTTCTTACTCTCCATACAACAAAGCCCAGTGTAGCCTTGTAAACATTTGCTCTCGGCAAAAAACATGATAGCTAAAGTAATATGAGTGTATCATATAGAAAACTCCATTCGACTCTATGAAGTCCCACATGAATACAGGCTATCTCGTTCCCTTCAGTTTTAAGGAAGACTGTGAGTCAGCAACTTTCAATGAGATTTTTGTGATACATTTATCTACCGGTATATATATCATTGTTAAGATTGCACTGGAGACTCTGGACCATGGCAAAGTAGTAATTATTTTTGCATTAAAAAAAAAAAGTTTCACAACAGCATTCACAGTAAAAAATGGAGTGTCCTATCCTTCTATATATCAGTCTTTAGTTTGGTTGTTCTTTAAAGTTTACTCCTTTTGCTGTCTTGTATTAAGTGAGCAAGCAAGTAATGCAGTAGCTGGCAAATGAAGCTGCATACAGCAAGATTTCTGGATTTTTTGAACTAAAGCGCACGGAAGCAAGATCCATTAAAGGCAGCATATTGATTATTTGTATGACATAACTAGGATATTGTAGCTAAAGTCTAGCAAGCTTGATAAGATAAAACTAAGTCCTATTTACTGTATTTAACATTATCTGAACATACCAAGCCTTGAAGATGGAATAAAATTTACTTGCCAATCCACATGTTAGGCTACTAACATTGAACTGTTCCATTTCGGTCAATGATTTGAAAAACAATTTTGCAAACAGAACTTATATCAGTAAAACACTGATGTATATTTGGCAACTGATTTTGGTTTCTTTCCAGAATAGAGATTTCTCTAAATTATAGCTCAACTGGAGTAGTATTAAGGACTTCAGAAGGCTGGTAAAAATAATGTGACTTTCAAAAAAACAAAAGAAAAAAGGATTGCCAGTATATGGCATCAGAGAACAAAAAAAAACCAAAAAAAAACAACAATATTGCTCTTAGTGCAGTGAACAAGCAACATCAGAAATCACAATGGTGGAAGTGGTTCAAATGACAAAAGCATCATCTTCAGCAAGCTTGCAAAGTGAGTCATGAATACGGATTTAGTCCTTTAGTGACTCAACAGCTTTTGCTCATAGTTAAATTTCTGGTTTCTGGCTGTGCTATTCTTTGGCATCCATAAAATAATTTCACAGATTCATCAGAATTACAAGATGCTTTTCTCCCCCAGTTTGAAAGTGTCCGAGTGTGCGTTATGTAAGGATATGTGTGTGTGCGTATATCACATACACACACATACACACACACACACAATTTATATTCAAAGTTACCTATCATCAGCAAAAATGTTTAGTGAACTTCACTTGTCTTTTTATTTTACTTCCCTGAGCTTACACTGGGGCTACTCCCATCAAGCCTGTAGTAAATCTCAAAACCTTGACTGTAACTTTGAAGCCAAAATTGAATCAATAGTGTAACGAAGTGCAAACTTGGAGATCTACATGACTCGTAAGTCACACCAGCTTTTAAACAACATTTAAGGCTTATTAGAAACATCTGATGTACAGTATTACTGAAATATTTAGAATGTTGACTTCTGTGAATCACTCTCTTAGGATGTGTTGATGGCTCACTAACAAGTTTTTACTTTGAAAGAAAAGGAAATAAGGGGGAAAAGCCATCAATGTAATTAGTGTTCATAAAAACAAATAAGATGGGAAAGGAAATGTTTCAATGATGCTGCCTCTTCAACCAAGTGACTGCTACTGTACATAAGCAGCTTCTAAAGAGATGAGCCAGAGATTTATTTTGAGTTATCATGAAAGCACAGACTGGAGTTCTTTGAAGCTATTTGAATAATTCCCCCTCTGAGTAATGGAAACATTTCTTCTTCTGATCTTTGTTTGGCCCATACTAGGCTACTTTAACCTGAGGAAATTATGGGGAATGGCTGTAATAATCAAAGGTTTAGGTTTTACCAATGAGTAGTATAAATAATACCCCAAATTACTCTGGAAAGATACTGACAGGGAGCAGAGCAGCTTTAGCGTGGATCTGTAAATTCTATCTACTGAGAGCTTTGGATGGTTCTTTATAGAGCCGCTCAGCTGATAGTTGGAGTGATAAGAGTTAAATCTTGGTTCTTGCCTCCTGGATGGACCCTGATTGAACTGAAGAGGTGAGGAAAAAGAAGGAAAAAAAAAGATTAATAGACCATAAATACAATGTTGTATTCCTCTACCCATTAAGTGCTTTCTTCAAATAAGCTTGTTGTGCTTCTTTAAAAAAAAGAATCGCTTATTTTACTTCATACTTGCACACGAAGACATACACACCGGCAAACCCTGCACATGTGTACATGCATGTACAGGTGCACAGACACACATACCTATGAACATCTATTTTTACTATTCCATGTTCTATGTTGGCTTCCATAGTAGTAATCTCCTTCTGAAACCTGCCCTGAAAGAGACGGTAACATCTGGCAGATCATGAAATCAATTTGCTTAAGTAATGCCCATAAAACTGTCGTCCCTGCATGAACAATAGGCGTTGGCAATCTCAGATCTCCTCATTAAAATCCTGAGATGTCCTGCTTGCTCCTAGAAAACTGATGTCCTTAATAATGTGTATGCTTGCATTCTATGTAACCAAGATATATATGTGACAAAGCCTAACTACTGTGACTGTATAGGAGTCTAAATTGGTGAAGCCTGGAGCTGTTTCTCAAGCGTATAGAGAGAGGAAACAACAGTGCTCATTTCTGAATTATATATACAAATTAAAAACAAAGTAACAAACCAAAATCCTTTGTTATGATACCAGTTGAAATTGGACATGGCAGTTGTTAACTGTATTTAGGCCTCACAAAGCTGTCATGACTGGTCTCAGAGGTGCATTAAGATGCTAAAATACTCATTCTGAAATTATCCTCATTTCCTGAATCTAACTGGCTGTGGTGCCCTCTGCCACTTCCAGATTCTGTGTCAGAGTCACTCATTTCTGCATCCGAAAAGTAGCCATCAGTCTCATTGTCAAAAGGATGCAAAATAACCTTTGATCTTTCATTTTCTGGAGGTCCATGAAGCATTTCGTGCGTCTTGTTCTGTGGTCTTTGAGTCCCTTTGCCTTCTTTTGGTAATTTGAACCTCACCACTGTTTTCAGACTACCTACTGAATCAGGCACTTGAACCAGAGAGTTAGGATCAGTTGGGTTGTATTTCATGACATCCTCATCATTGTTTAGGTTATTTATGAGACTCGGGAACGCTTGAGAATCATTTACTTTTGGAAGAGGAAGTGCTAGATGAGAAGAGCCCTTCTTAGATGTCTTTTTCACTTCACATACCCCTTTACGTTCTGATTGTAGCTTGTCCATACTTTTCTCTGCCTTGCTGTTTCTTAAAACATGGGATAAAGATTTCGTGGTGTTATTTGCCAAATAACTGCTGTTAGTCCATTTATTTGAATCCCCTTCTTGATGTCTTTTAAAGAGGGCATTTAAGCCATTTCTTGCTGTTTTTTTCTTAGTGTGTGTTCGATTTTTACTTTTAGTTTTCTTGGTTGTGTCACTCTGTTTCAATGGGGACTTCAAGGAATGATCCATCATGAAACTTAATAAGGTCTCTTCATCTTGTAAAAGTTCCTCAGAAAGGCCTGGAGTTGTATTTTCACGATGGCCGTTGTTCAAGGACCACTCACTCATTGCCATGTTCTCTGTGGTGATCTGTACAGATTGAGCCAACCAGCTATTGAAGAAGGTCCCAGCAATGGGAAAGGAAGTTGACAAGCCTATTGCAGGAATGAGTAGAAACATAGAATGCATTAAGATCAGTCATTATTTTTTTTACAACTCAATATAAATTCAAGTACTGTCTAATAATTAGATTACAAGAAATCAGTTCAATAATGCAAGAATATCTGAATCACATATGGCAACTACTTTGTGAAGAGCCAACCGTCACATGGTCACTGTATTTTCTGAATGTAATTTTCCTTTTGCCTCACTGTTAAATACAGGTAATCCTTGATTTACAACAGTTTGTTCAGTGACCATTTGAAGTTACAATGGCACTGAAAAAAGTGAGTTATGATCATTTTCACACGTTGTAGCATCTCCATGGACACATGATCAAAATTCAGACGCTTGACAATTGACTCATATTTATGATGGCTGCAGTGTCCCAGGGTCATACGATCAACTTTTGCAAACTTCTGACAAGCAAAGTTAGTGGGGAAGTCAGATTCATCTAACAACCATATCAGTAACCCAACAACTGCAGTGATTCAGTTAACAACTGTGTCAAGAAAAGTTGTAAACTGGGTCAAAAATCACTTAACAAATGTCCCACTTAGCAACAGAAATTTTGGGCTCAATTGTGGTTGTAAGTCAAGGACTATCTATAATGCCCTTTCTAGTGTTACGTTCTTACCTTAATAATATCCAATGCACCCTTTCTGATATTGTTTTTAACTATGAATATATGGGATAGAAATTGCCTGCATGATGCATGAGCATTAAAGGGCTGGAATCCACAAAGGTTTATGCCACAATATATTTGCTAGTTTTTAAGTCACAACAATACTTCAATAGTTTGGAAAAGTGCTGCTAAGCAGGTTCCCTGCTCTTGAGAGATGGAAACCCCTGAATAGCAGTTTTGGATGAATCAAATTATACATGCGAATGAAATAATATTTCAAATAAACAAGCTATTTCACTTACAGGGTAGGGATAGGGAACGGGCAATTTTCCTGGCAGCAAATATCCCATAAATTGGACACCCTGCCAGAAAAAGATCACTCTCCACATGTGCCACCTGCTTTACTTCAGACAGTAGATTAGTTTCTAAAAAAGATCTTAGTGGCTCTTATAATGCTTTGAGGAACAGGTCTCAAACTGTGGAACGTTTTAAAGAAAACCACTAGTAGACTGAACTAAAAATACATGAGGAGCCACTGTAATAGTTGTGAAATGCTCTCGCAGTTCCTGGACTCTATTGACGGCCTGGCAGATTGTTTTAATTTGCAGTTTCCAAACTGCTGCTGGAATTCTGTGATTTTCATGGGCTAATCTGGAGGATACAGAGTGTGGATCACTAGGAACATGCTGTTTTTCTAAACTATCCACAGAATCAGAACTGGCATGATGAGGTTCTCCATCAGTGGACATCAGAACAGATGGACACCAGAAAAGTCCCCTCTAGCTTACAAGTCTCAAAGTAAAGCCAATCTTTCCTTCTGTGTAATAGTCTTTTCAAACACTGGTGTATACAGCAAGTCAAGATTTGGACTGAGGTCATAAGACACTCTCCACCCGCTAAGTCCCTCATTCATTGTACACAGGGAGTTTATATCCCATTGCTTGCTTTACCACCACCCTCCTCCTCCTCCTCCTCCTCCTCCTCCTCCTCCTCCTGACTTTGGGAATATTTTCACTCTTTCGTAACTTCTTCAAAAGCCTGAAATGTAGCTTTCTGGAGCTACATTTTCCCACTGCTTTCATCAGTGAGTAAGCTGAAGAGGGAGTGAAATCCAGAAAGAATGGAATTTCTCCTTAAGATAGGCCCTGCATTTTGAATCAGTATCTCCCTAGAGCTAGGCTTGCTTTCTGCCCTTCCCAATGGGTAAAACTGTTTCAAGGGGGTTGTACGCTCCCAGTGATTTGAAGAACTTAATATGGATTTGGCCAGTAGTTGGGGCTTTGCAAGGGAAGCAATGTTCTGGTCCCTGCTACCATCATCTGTCACCCTCTCACAACAATCCAATCCCATTTTAAGGAGCAACACAGTTCTGTTTAAAGTCATGTGAAATTGCATCCAGAATTAGACTATTGCCCCACACAGATGAACCACAATCTTAACAATATCTCCACCACTGATTAGCCTATTGGTGCCTGTGCAGACTTTTCTCAATTACCGATTGATGCTGCTGATTTAGCCCTTCTAAATGTAATACCTAAAGTATGGATGACCCCATTAAAGAACATAATGGAAAAAGGATAAAATTCTATAGCATCTCAGCATATGTATATATACATATATATATCCATCCCCCATGGATTCTACTGTAACAGTGGTAGCTCAGTGAAATCTGGAATCAAGTAACTTTACGTGATGATTCTAATCGCTAAATTGAAGAATCTGTTCAGAACAACATTATGTGTAAGTGCATGGAGAAATGCAGGAGAAATAAAATCAAAATAAATCTTCAATTCCTGGTCCTTCTCTAGCATCCGCCATTCAGTCACCCATCAGGACAGAGGAGCACCCTGTGCACATTTTTACCAAATGGATGCTGCTGGAGAGAGGGAACTTGGATATTCATAAAGCAGGGGTGTCAAACTCAATTTCACTGAGGGTCGCATCAGCATTGCGGTTGCCCTGGGGTGTGTGTGTGGCCAGAGTGGGTGTGGCCTTCTGGGTGGGCATGATAGAGTGGATGTGGCCTACTGGGTAGGTGTGGCCAGTTCTACATCATTTTCATCAAGGATGACTATGGGGGCCTGGGCAGGAGTGGGACAGATCTGAGGGTCTCTCGCAGAAGGGGGTGGGACCGGGGCAAGTGCCAAGGCATGGTCCACTGGGGCAAGTGCCAAAACAGCCATGACAAAATTGTACATTGGCTCCCAGCTGGCCTGGGCCAGGGCCAAGGCGGCAGGGGCCGTTCCCTCACTGTTTCCAGGATGGCTTCGCGGACCACATGAAACCACTTCGCGGGCCGCATCCGGCCCCCGGGCCTTGTGTTTGACACGTCTGTCATAAAGGGTCCATAACAGTGAACATGGCCAATCTGAAACACATATTTACAGTGGTTTGTCCTGTCCACCAGCCCCACAAAATCATGTCTGTTGTTCCTATGCCCCATGTTCTTTTCTCTGGATACAAATAGCACAGCCTGCAGAAGTCCATTGCTTTTATTTTCTAAGGCTATTAGATGGGCTATGTGGAATCTAGAGACATTTTAGAAGAAAAGCTAATGCTATATAAAAAGTAAGCAAATAAAAATGAAGTTAAGTAGTACAGAGAGCCTGGCAAGTACAAGAGACACATCCCCTAACACACCGATGCCTGCATACCACAAAGTCTATCCCCAACTGTGATGGTTTTTGTGTCATAACTAAATGATCCAATTAAACAGCTGCATCCAAGAATATCTATACAGTGGAACAGCCATTATATACATGAGCACTCTGCCCAGAGGAATGCCATCTGCAGTTTGCAAAATATTATTCCCTATATATCTGACACAAACAAGTATGAATACAAAAAAACACAACTCCCGTTTTTCAAAAATTATCCCGTACAGCTCCAATGAATATGAGTCGAAAATATACTTAAAACATTAATTTCTCAGAAAATATTTTGAGTATTTACAACCTCATCTATGTGACTCTGCGGGCTTGATAGGTTTCAAACGTATATTTTGAAGCTCAACTTACCCAGCTGTCCCAGTACTAACTCATTCCCTGATTTTCTCTTTTCTTTCTTCTCAGGACTGCTTTTTCTATCATCTCTTCCTTTTCTTTTTGGGTCGCTTCTCCTTCCTTTTGTTCTCTTCTCAGCTTGTTCTGTTCAAATTTAAAAACAGAATGAATCACTGCTTATTAATTTAAAACACTGGTTTCTTTCACATTCTTCAAAGTATCTTATGGTGAATTAAATTATGTACAATATGCCAGATAAAACAAGAAAATAAGTTAACAATTTTAAACATACAGTAATATGTCCAATCAGAGAGCCAGTTTGGTGTAGTAGTTAAGGCATCAGGCTAGAAACCAGAAGATTTAAGTTCTAGTCCTACCATAACACAAAGCCAGATGGGTGACCTCAGCCCTAGGAAGAAGACAATGGCAAACCACTTTCAAAAAACCTTGCTAAGAAAACTGCAGGGACTAGTCCAGGTAGTCACAAGGAGTCAACAATGAATCTAAGATAGCAAATGAAAATAAAAATGTGAATCAAAAAAATGAGTCAAAAGAAGAATCAGACTAGAGCACGTGTGTCAAACTCACTGCGTCACATGACATGTTGTGCTGTATTGCAACTTTTTTTGCATTGCCAGAGCTGGGGTGAGTGCAGCCTCCACATGATGCAACCAGCCCAGGGGCCGGCAGTTTGACACCCCTGGCTTAGAGTCTCTATGGAATCACAAATGGACTAAAGTCCAATCCCTTTTGAATTCTGTTGACGCTTATTTAACCCCAAGATAATGCTGATCGTTAGTGGAATAGATTCTTGTGCGTAGGCATGATTAGTAATAAATCAGTCTAATTGGAACTTCACATGTGGTCCTGATCTTTCAAGTACCGGCCTGGAGAAGGTCTTTGGTGCCCGGATTGGGCTGCCGGAGGGCTGCGGAAGCGTCCCCCAGCTTCAGATCTGGGCGGCGGCAGCCTGGAGAAGGTCTCCAGCACCCAAATTGGGCCACCAGACGGCCACAGAAGCATTCCCCTGGCCTCACATCTGGGAGGAACTGCAGCAGAGAGGAGATGGATCTTTTCAAGGGGAGTTCAGCGTGGCAGGAAGGGAGGGAGAAGCATGAGGTATCTTAGTGGGTAGGAGAGACCTTGGGGCCTGTTCTATCACTAGGCCCTCCATGGCCTTCCCCACCCTGAGATACCTCATGTTCACTTAACAAGCTGCGTGGGTCTTAACAAGCAAGGGAGTGATCTCGTTCAAGGTACAAGATTTACTCCCATGAGTTTTCAAGTGATGAGTGGAATGGGCAGGCTCCATTACACTCGTAACTCAAGGACTACCTATAGTGCTGATCATTAGTAGAGTAGATTAATATCAAACACAAAAGATCAGGACCAAAGGTGAAGTTCCAATTAGACTGATTTATTACTAATCATTCCTATGCACAAGAATCTATTCCACTAACGATCAGCACTATCTTGGGGTTAAATAAGGGTCAACAGAATTCAAAAGGGATTGGACTTTAATCCATTTGTGATTCCACAGAGATTCTAGGCTGATTCTTCTTTTGACTCCACCCCCAGGTTCTGCCACTCCTTCTCCTACAGTCTTATTATTTAAATTAATTAAGACCATTAGGCGGACTATCTGAATTAAACACAATAATCCAATTTTACATTCTGGTGGTTCCTCTTGGCTGTGATTCTGAAGTCATTATACAGACTATGCATATTTATATTTGGGTCAATAAAACATTACAGATTTTGCAAGAGTATGTCATGTCATTATTATCCTTTCTCTAAGGCTACAATTCCATTTCAATGTAATTTCCACATTTTCAGTATAATCTTAGTACATAGTTAATAATTTACAGAACAGAAATTTGAGATTATGAAGGACTAAGGTTAAAAAAAAAAGATGCAAAGGTGGCAAAATTCCAAAATGTATTCAGTGGAATCGTGCCAGATGGGACCATGATCCAATGATAAAATACATGCTTCACCTACATACAATACCAGATTTAACCTTGGACATCCACCGCTAGTAACTGATGTAAAAGATCTTTGCTGGTGAACTTCTAGCAATTTTCTCAGTTTTCACTAGCTTTGACTCCTTCACGTTGGAGGTCAAATATTTTGCTGGCAATTACATTTATAAAACAAGTTTATGAAGATAACATTGGTAGCCATTTAAACACACATTTTCTGGACCAAAGTTTAGTAAAGGTTGCACAAGAGCACGTTTATTATTCTTATATCCTGCTACGCCGCCTGAACGGGCCCCTTAGGGCATCCTACAATATTAAATTATAAAACAATTAAAATCCAATTTTAAATGGTCACAAAATATCAATAAATGCTTAACAATTAATTTAAAATAGCCGTCTAATAAATCTGCAGGGCAACACAAAAAAGCAGAGCAATAAAACCGGTCATTTTAAAATTAAATCTGTCCTGCTCTCTAACTACCTGCTACAGTAGAAGCATTTGGCTAATTTTTTGGATGGGGATGCTTCCTCAAGGACGAAATTCCAGAAGTCATGAAAGGGAGGCCAGGCCTACATTTCCATTTTGTCCTTTCAAAAATATCTCGGAGTTCCCACTGGCTTCTCTAACTTCATTGGATGATTGCTTGTCTTCTGACTGCTCTCGCAAGCCATCTGCCCTTACAGGCAATAGTAATTAGGTCTGCCATTTTCTCCCCCTCCCCCTGCACAAATGGTTGGACTACCTCATTTTTTCTTTTGGATTTATTTACACTCACACTTGAATAACTACAGGTAGTCCTCAACTTATGTCCACAATTGAGCCCAAAATTTCTGTTGCTAAGTGATACAGTTAAGTGAGTTTTGCCTCACTGTATGACTTATTTTGCCACAGTTATTAAGTGAACCACTGCAGTTGTTGAGTTAGTAATGGGGTTGTTAAATGAATCTGTCTTCGTCATCTGAGTTTGCAAAAGGCAACAGCATGACCCCAGGATACTGCAACCGTCATAAAGATTAGTCAGTAGCCAAGCATCTGAATTTTGATCTTATGACTATAAGGATGCTGCCAGGGCTATCAGTGTGAAAAATGGTCATAAGTCCCTTTTTTGCAGTGCCGTTGTAACTTCAAATGGTCATTAATGAACTGTACTTCAAGCTTTTAGCTCATCGCTAATTCTTATTAATTGCAATGGGTGCATAAGGAACGGCCTTAGAAAATAGAGAGTGAACTTTCACAAGGAATCTGTATTAAGGTGCCAAACATCTAGAAAAACAAATGTGTCTATCTGATTCTATCCTTGATGGGATGGCTCTTTTCTGGATTATAAGCCTCTTACTGGGAGTGCAAACATGTTGTGGTTTTGTCTCTCTTATCCCAAGAGATCTTGATGTAATGCTACACAGCAGTTTATAAAGCACCCACTTTTGGAAGTTTCTGCCTAATGCAAGTCAGTTGTGCTTAGCTGCTACTTTGTGGTTAGAGCTACCAAGATGAAAACACAGCAGGTCTTGCCTACTACTGTATGAACTTATTCCTAAATCTCCAGAATGGGCTGCCATCACAACAAGAATACTGGAGTTAAGTACCATTGGTTTAAAGCAATTAGGCCTTTGTTGCAGCCAGTTAATAAACCACTATTATCCTTTTAATATAGGATTTATATTTGCAGGCTTGCCAATCAAAGATTTTTTTTCTCACAATTACTGAACCAATTTCCAGGAAGAAAAGCAAAGCAGAATTGATGTTTGCTCAGTTCCTGCCAGCGAACTGGAGAAGGGCAGACACATTTTTCACTTGACTTAACAAATGAAATATATGGCTTTGTTTAGATGGTGCAGTGCTTCCAAACAACAATATCAATGCAAGACTTTTTGAAAAAGAAGCCTGTCAAAAGGAACAGCTGCATTTCAAAGCCTGACAACTACAGGGTTGTTTTTCAGTTCACAGAAGATAGATAGGGGAAAAGCAGCTTTCAGACTGGCAACCTTTCCAAGCTTTAGGAGACATCGCCTGCCTAAAAGATTATTCATCAGCCACACAATCGACCACCAAATTCAGCTTGTCCATTAATGTGCCAAATACATTCTACACGCAGTTGTACATTAACTAAGATGCATGCAGCAATTAATAAACCTATACTAGATCAATGATAAAGGAGGAACGGGTCTTCCCTCTGTGAAGGAGAAAAACAGACAGCAAGACAACTTAGGTTAATCTGAACAATTCAACAGGAAAACAAGCCAAACCATGTAACTACAGGGCGTCATTGATTTACAACCATTTGCTTAGTGACCATTCCAGGTTACAATAGCACTGAAAAATGTCACTTACAACCAGTCATCACACCAACAACCAATGCAGCATCTCCAGAGTCATGTAATCAAAATTTGGTTGCATGGCATCTGGCATGTATTTACAATGATAACAGCATCCTGGGATCACATGACTGCCATTTATGACTGTCCCGGCCAGCTTCTGGCAAGCAAAGTCAATAGGGAAAGCCGGATTCGCTTAAAGACCACATGATTCACTTAACAACTACAATGATTTGCTTAACAACTGTGGCAAAAAGTCATAAAATTGAGTGCAACTCATTTAACAACCACCCTGCTTAACAATGGAAATTCTGATCTCAACTGTAGTCATAAGTTGAGGACCACCTATATACCAAAATGAAACTTAAGAATATTGGAAATAAGGATGCTCAGCTAATCTTCAAAGCCTATCAGCATCAATCAGGTTGGTGTTTCTTCACAATGCCACTCGTAGGGCTATAATTCACACTGCAACTCATTACTGAGAGGGTAATGATTCTGTAATCATAATAAAAAACGAAGTTCACCCTTCTATGTTTCCCAGAATACAAAGGGGAATAAGGAACAGTGAAGTACATTAAGTTAAACATGATATAAAATGTTCATTTATTTAATAATTATTAATCAAATTTATATGGCCTCCCATCTCCCCAAAGGGAACTCTGTGTAGTGCACAAGTGCACAACAAAAACAGGTAAAAGTCACAGATTTAAAAAAACCCACAGATATATATAAAAACATATAAAAATCACATTAACAATAAATATTATAAAAATAGAGATACCAACTCTTTCAATCTATTTCAGTCTACTGATTTCCATTAGAAAAGATACCTTACCAAAAACT